TGAAAAATGCCTCGTCTATGCTTTGACCACATCAGATGTGTTTTTTTGGAAAGTATTTAAAGAAAAAAAAAGTTAATCTATTCAAAATTCAATTTTTTTTGTTTATTGCCCAAATCAAATCGAATTTCCCCCAATTTTAGTTTTTAAGGAAATCCGTACTATTATTTTTAAATTTTTTAAATTTCATTTAATTTATAATTATGTTAAAAAGTTTAAAGAAATGTTCAAGAGAGGAAATTCACCTTCCTAAAATAATTTTTCCAAATTTGAATTTTAATTTTTTGCTACATTTATTTCGTAGTGTTTTTTTTTTTTTAAATTGCAAATAACAAAAACCCAAAACTTTTTTTTTCGTCTAACCTTGATTTTCTTTTATATTTATTCTTTAAATCCGCTGTAATCAATTTGAACAAGAAAAATTTTTTTTAAAAATCAGCAATTTTAAAGTGATTTTAACCTCATAAATGAGTTGAAAACGAAATCGGTCACACGCAAACAGTTTTTTCTCTTTCTTTTCTACATATATAGTTTTACAAAATTGCATCTTAATACTGAAGAATAATTATTTTACATGTATAGTTCATCTATTATTCTACAAAGTATTCAATAGAGTAGATTCCCTGATTCTACATTTTATATATAATGCACATGCAATATGAACGCTCATTCATGCAAATGCAATAATGAACGCTTGTTCACATCATATATCGAAAATTTTCTCAAAAATTTTCTATTGAATGAATTTTAAATGTAAATTACAAAATACCTAATTTACATGACGTGTAAATAAGTGGAAGAAAAAAATTATATTCTATTGTCCGGTACAAGTAAAAAGAAACAAAAAAATAAAAAGGCTTTAACCTTTAATCTTTAAAATGAATATTCGGTCTGCGGTTTCAAATTATTTTATACAACTTGTATCTTCTATTTATGCCTGTATGTACGCCTGAGTATATTATAAAAATTATATTAAAATTGTAATAGAGACAAAAATGCTAATCAATTTTAATATAAGCTTTTCATAAAGTGTTCTCGATTAAAGGTCTTAAAAATGAAGATAAAATTAACGAAGGAAAACAATTTTCAATCTTAAGAATTATTTCAAATTTAGTCTGATGAATAAATTATTCACTTAAATGGGGCTACCATTATAATTTCATGTTAATTTACTTGTGTTAAGGAAAATGAATTTTAATGTTAAAAGAAAAATGTGTAATGTGATATAAAATATTCACCCATATTCTGTTTGTCGCACCACTTGAGGTGATGGGATATTATTGAAAAGTATTTTAGTTGTCGGTGTAAAATTTCAAATTTTCATATGGTACGACTAACAGATAATGGCTGATAATTAATTACATTGTCATCTTAAAACTTTTTAAATTAAAATTGCATTTTTACTATTAAAGGAAAAAATATTGAAACTCGAATTTGTTTCGAGTTTCAATATTATTACTTCAATTGTCTAATTAGAAGCAGTAGTCTGATATATAAAACTGTCTTCAGAAATAGTAACAAGTAAATCAAGGATATATCGGAATAGTGGCAAGCATAACTATGATCAAAATCTACAAGTGTGCTGGATACAAAACAATTTTTTCTTGATATAAATTAACATTTGATTCCAATAAATTTATTAATTAATATAATAATATAACTTAGGATATTTCTTTTTGTTTTTGCAGTTTTTGAATTATATACATATAGACACATATGTGCTATGTATGTATTTTAATTCTATTTAAAACAATTTCCTAATAAAAATTTTAATTTATTTAATAATAATAATAACCTAATTGTGAGTTTGAATTAAAATGGTTAGAGTATAAACATATTTAATAGTAAAGCTATAAAAGTCACAATATTTTTCTTCAAAATATATATATATACATATATACACTTGTACATTTAATTAAAATATGTATTAAATTAAACTATTGATATCAAATCAATAAAAATTAATTGTAATCTCTAAATTCAAAATGATATTATATACGCGATATAGTCAGTCCAATGTCTCTTAAATAAGTATTGAGTGTGAAAATAAAAAAAATTAATGTTTTTTTAAATGAGTTTTTACTATTTTAAAATAATGCAATTTAATATTGTTGTAAGATAGTATTTTCTTTATCCTTATAAGTTACAATGGGACTTTATTTTTGCATTTTAATAACCAATAACCTCATATTTGAGTGCATCATACATTAAATTTTGCACTTTCATCCAATATAGATTTCGAATAATATTCGATAAAATAATTTTTAGAAATTAAAAAATATTAAATTTTTATTTGGAGTTTATTATTTCTTATAAACTTAAATTTCTAGTAGAACTAGAAAACTGAAAAAAGCGAGCAAAACAGTACTCACATGAAAATTAAATTATAAGAATTTATGATATTTGATTTCCTCTCTTCTCACGGGTTGAATAGTAGGATGGAAAACAAGAAGAATAAAGGTTTCGATCTTCTTTATGATGCATGTAGCACTATCACAATATTCTATTTATGTAAATTTTAGTAATTAAAGTTAAAAAATAATAAAATTTTTTTACTTAAGTCTTCTTTATATTATTAGCAATAATCTAAATTCTTTTCGTATTCGTTTAATTTAGAAAATGCGCATAATCTTTAAAATTTCAAATAATTTTATAGTTTCTTTCAAGTTCTTATTATTAATTATATTAATTAACAAAATGTAACGTATTATGTGTTAAACTAGAGGATGTTTTACACTTCGCTGGCAAAACTGTGATACCACGTAAGTGCAAATAATTCCAAAAGTACTTTAATAATTTTCTGTTTAGGAAATGTCAAACAATCAATCTTTTAAATTTACGAAACAGTGAAAACTAATAAATAATTACATATTCTTTAAATATATTTCATATTTTCATAAATTTAAAAGATGAATTGTAAAGTACTTTTGGAAATATTTGCACTTACGTGGTATCACAGTTTTGCCAGCGACTTTCAATAGATACTTAATAGTCAGTTCATGATTATATATCATGAATTTATTATATTTGTACATGTCCAAATGTAAGTATGCAGGAACTTGACTGTACCAAATGGTAAGCAATGACTGTTAGATTAATCTGATTTAACAGTGCATTTTATATGGAAGTCTGGTAAATATTAAAAATAAAATCTTTATCTTATTTTCTTTAATAAAAATTTCAAAATTACAATTTAAATTATAGTAAATTCAAATTGCTCGATATTGGAAGTTATATTTTTCTTTCTTAATATAACATATTTTAACTTAGTGATCTATTCATTTCCATATCTTCCTTCTTCCATTTTTTATTCAATGATTACAGCGCTCATGTACATTCATTTTAGTTATTTTTTTTTTGATTGTATAAAACTATCAGTAACACACACCTTGTTTCTTAACATTTTAGTGGAAATATTTTTTATATTTATTTTTTTTCTTCTTAAATTTAATAATAATAATAAAATAAAGCATATTTTCCATTTTAGTAATATACAAAGTATACATACATATACATCTCTTAAATACCAATTAACAGAAATGCGTCAACGAGTAATACAAAATTCAAATTATTAAATATTCATTATAAAAAGTATAATATAATAAAAATATACACCTGGATTAACTAAAATATAACAATATTTTTTTTTTTTTAGAAATACATATTAAATTACAAATGGTGCCATATATCGAAAAACAAAGAATGTGCAAAGAATAAACCCTGAGAGGAAAACATTTTAATATTTTTTTTAAAAAAAATGGTAAATTTTCAAAATTTCAGAACCTGAGAAAGTATAAAATTGAACATTTATTGTCTTTACTTATATGGGCCGATTCGAAATTTAATCTTATTTTAATCCTACTTATCTTTAAGAGATGTAGTACTTGTATATGAGTTATATTTTTAACATAAATATACATAATACGTATGTATGTATGTGAATATTATAATAGATATGTACATATATAAAAAAAATTAATATATATTTTATTTTTAAACAAAAAGCAATAACTTTTCAATTAAAAAGAAATATGTATTTATAATATTATGTATTTCAAAATTAAAATAATTATTATTTTTAAACAATAATTTTAAACAATATACGAATATATTTTCAAATTTTTTAATAGAAAAAAAAACTTAACATTATATTTTAAACAAAATGATGAATTAATTTAACAAATTTTAGAGATTTTATTTTTCAATTTATTTTAATAGTTATAAATATATATCAATATAAAAATATGAAATTTAAGTAAAAAATTTATCAATTCTAAGTAGCGCTTTTTCTTCTTTTCCTCATTAATATTTTTCATTTCAAAAGATGTCTTATTTTATGATTTATGTAGCCACAATAAAGTCTTATATTTTGAATGAAAAAAAAAAACAAAATTTAAAAATGTTATTCTTTCTTAATTTTTTTTTGTTTTGTTTTAAATGTAAGTTATTTAAAATATTGTATATTCGAAATTAATTTTAAATTATCACAGGGAACACAATGAATTTTCATGCAGAAAAAAAATTTTGTGAGTCTGTATTTTTAATGGGGTGTTAAAAAGTTGAAAACAAGGGTACAAAGTATGTAATTAATGTATGTATAAAATGTTGATATATAGATAAGATAATACAAAGATTATACAAAGTTAATAGTTCTGAAACAGATATATGTAATTAATTCCGTAACCTAAATTTTTATTAGATCCTTAAGAAAGTTAATATTCTTAAGGCACTTAAGCTTTGCACATTTAGCGCACTTAAAGAATTATAATATATACAAAGGTATATATTAAATATATTCATAAGCTCTAAAATTGTAAAAATTGAACAAATTTCTAAGTATAGGTAAAAATATTTATTTTACAATTTATATGAGTTCAGTTATACTAAAATAGCTTACTAATAAAAAAATTAGGAATATTATAATTTTGTTAGTCTACAAAAATAAATTTTTCAAAATATTCCGCATTATCGAAATTATTTTATAAAAATTTCACTGTTTTTGACTCATATCTGTCTCATATTATCAATCATTTGAGATTATTTTTCAAAACTAGTATATTATATTCCGAATATATATATTTACATATATATACATACATGTCTATATTTCTTCAGGAATTAATTACAATAAAATATAGCTTTCCTATGAACTAAAATTTTAATTAAATATGTACATACATATATACATATCTTTATGTAAGTGTACCTTTTTACTTTCGGTACAATTGTTGCTTAATTTCATAAAAATTTAGTATTAGAAATTTTATTTAATTTATTTCACCTACGTGATGTTAGTTTCCTGTATTGCTAAATTACCTAACTCTTGTTACTACTAACTATTTCAACTACCAACTTGCTCTTATTCTTTTGATAAGTGTCTTTTATTATATTGTTCGACCCATCTTAAAACTCTTTCATTAACATCAAGTTCGTGTTTTGTTAACTGATTGTTGGTATGACTAGTATCACCATTTTGGGCAATCTCTTCAACTATATAACTGTTTTCCATATTTGTTTCAGTTGCGTTAATTTTTTTATATCTCATTTTTAATATTACGGAACACTTTTTATTAATGTTATTTATTACTTGGCTTGTCAAAGTATTTTTAAAATGTAGGTATAATTCTCTCAAATCGTCAGTATTCAAATGTTCAAACTCCTTTAATAATTTATATTCGTTTGAAAAATATGGAATACCCAAATTATTTATCATATCTCGGATATCAGACAATGCTGGGTACTCTGAGTTTTCTATCATTTCGAAAGTTGGAAATTTATTCTCAAAATGATCGTTCTCACACCGTTTTGCTAATTTCTTCTTTAGAAAAATTTCGTTAAAAAACTGCTCATCCGGATTTTTTGTTGTATCGAAAGCCAAAATATAAGCAATATTATCTTTAATAAATTTAATATTGCATTTTATAATATCAGTAGATGACATTCTAAAAAATGTATTAACTGATTCTTGACTCCAACGTTCTGTAAATGGTGCAATGCCTTCAAGACTTCCCCTAAATGCTTGAGATGGCAGTATAGAATATTTCTTTGGCAGGTATCTTAAACAGAAAAAAAAAATTGAGATATAAAAGTTACGCGCATAATTAGCCTAATAATTTAGTACTCTTACCTTAAATAGTTTGTGCAGGATTTAATTATAATACCAACATCTATCAAATATAATTTAATTATATTTTCATTTTTTGCTATTAATTTGGCTCTATGCCAAATATTTTTATATGGAATACAAAAAACATTTCCTGGTTGCAAATGCTCTTTTTGAAGTCCCCATCTTTTATAAAAATCCTCATTACAAAATTTATTTAATTCAGTTTTAAAATTATTATAAATTATAGAATCATATGATTTAAATCTAAACCAAAATCTATGCGGATTATGAATATAAGTAACAATTATTTCGTGTAAGTTCTTTTTTGTTAAAGAATCAGGCAAAATGCATTTCTCTACATTTAAAGCAAAATCTTTATTATTAAGCCGAATTTTGATAATAAAACTTTCATCTTCTCTGCTATCCCATATCGATTCTATATCATCATTGATCCCAGATAAATGAGTATTTTTAAATCCTCCAGCACTTTCAGAATTTTTATTTTGACTTTCTGAACAAATCTTACAAATCTCTTGATGTTTTAAAGGGATCTGAAATTTTTCTAATTGAGTTAAATTATCACTATTAGGAGCTAAGTTTTTCTGATCATTATTTTGGTGATTCGGTTGCCTATTTTCAATTTTATTTTGATTTACACAAGGAATTTTAATAGTTTTGTATAATTCATCCTGATAACAATTCAAATGATTATTATCCATTTCTTCGACTTTATTTTTTTCAGTACAATTACGTACTTTAATATCTTCATTTTGCATTCTGCAATAGTCCAGCCTTTTTTGAATTTCACTTTTTTTTGGATTATCGGAAAAAAATGTAGTCGTTTGAGGCGAATCGTTGGAATTGTTTGTAGATTTGTTAACTATATTTCCCGATTTATCTTCAACATTCATAGCACGCATTTTTGAATTTAATTCATTATGGTTTTTATTAATATTATTATTTTTATATTTGTTAACGATTTCAGAAACATTATTAACTTCAGGAGCATTAACTTTAGAACCAATCTTTTGAAAATCTAAAGGACCATTGGTGTTATTTCGATTATTTTGATTTGTACGATGCCCCCTTTCGTTTCCATTTTCTGTTTTGATTACATGATTCTGATTCTGATTGATTACATTTGGAAAAGGAATATTTATATTCAAATATGGTAAAATGCTCATATTATTGTAACGTGCTTGGTTATAATTTTGTAGAACGGAAGTTGGGATATTCCACAAATCTTTATTAAAATAATTTGTTAAAATTGCCTGGTTATTATATAATTGATTGTAGTTATTTAGAAACATGGGAAAATTACTAATGGGGATATGACTCTGCGATAAGTTTAATGCGTTACAAGATGTTTGATTAAAATTTTTTTTATTTGTTTGATTCGGTTTTTTCTTTTGCTTTGATACCATATAAGTAATGTGCTCAGATTTTTTGTTATCACCTGTAGCTTGTATGTACAATATTCCTTGTTGTCTTTTTAAACTTAAAATATCTGGCATCGACTTTAAAAAATCCTCGAGGGAACTATAACCAAATGCTCGAAAAGGTATATCGTATCCAATGCTAAAAGTTTTTTTACTTGCATATTAAACAAACCCAAAAAAAAATAATTAGGTTCCTACCTTTTTTTGAAATCTTTGCGCAAAGTGTCTAAATTATAAGCATCTGCGTTGGATAGTATTAAGGCTTTGATGCAAACTTTTGTTTCAGCTAATGAGGCTATTTCATTTGTCGCCATGTTTGAACCTACGGTTTTAAAATTAATTTTTTTTATAAACAAATAATTCTTTTTAAAAATTTGAATATCTAGATTGTATCTAGGTTGTAGATCGAACATTTGAGTTACTTAATTACCTACAAATTTTGATATGTAATTTATGATGTTGTTTATAATTTTTTAAAAAACTGTCAAATGTATAGCAAAAAGACAGCACTAAATGTCAATTCGTTCTTGACACGCGTAATCTTAATAGGGTTGCGCAAACTATACTTGAGATACTTAAAATGCTGTTTTCCATGTACGACAAAATTTAAGATTGAAACTAAGATTGAGTTTGATGACTGTTTACATAATTATCTAAAATTATTTGATTGAGCACGGACTTTACATTAAAATTTAATAATTTTATTTTCGCATTCATATAAGATTATAACCAAATTAAAAAATAATTGATCGCTGGTTAGAAATGTCACGAAAAATTAATTGCTTCCATTTTACTTTTAACAATAAAACCAAGAAAAATTTGATATCAAACAAAGATTACATATTTCAGGAATTTCAGCGGGCTCATAAAACATACATATATGCATTTGAATGTTGAAAAAACTAGAAATATGAGTGTTAAAATCACAACCAAAATTTAAGGTTAACAATTAAAGGCAAGTACTTTATTTTAAGATACATGCAAAAAATAAAACACATATAATTGTTGAAAATGAATGTCTACCCAATAAGTATTTATGAAAGTATAGTATTATTCATGATTTTGCAGATCAAAGCAGCAAGTCTTATATTTTTTGGTTTTGAAAGATTTGTTTGAGATAAATTTGCAGATTTTTGGAAGTTTTCTAAAATCTTAATTTCAATAATACTAATCCTACAGTTTACGGAAAGCCGAACGCATCCCAAGCATATAGAAGACGACCATTTTGTATGTAGTTGCAATATTTTTGTATGAATATCAAACTTGCCTAATTTTGAAAAAAAAAATAATGTTTTTTTATTTTTTTTTTTTAATATACTTGGGGTTAAAACTCTGAAATTAATTATACACTTTTCTATTCTATCAGATTTCAGTCAATACTATATTTTTGACAGAAAAATATCTATTTATCGTATATGTTTAAAAATAACTTTTTTATCATGATTTATTTCATATTCTTTTGCGCCATTTTTGTACCATGCTCATTTTGACTTTGATTTTTCCTATATTTCTTAAAACTGCTTGTTGAGCTTGCAAACGAGATTTTGTTTTTTTAAATTTTTATATCAAAGAATTTTTATTATATCGAAGTATGATGTCTAAACATAGCGTAATTTTTATTTTTTATTTTCAAAATTCCAATTATTCCTACTGTTTCGTTCCTAATTTGAAACAATATTACACTTTGAAAGCTACTGATCTTAAAAATAAAACTTAATTTTGAAAAATTTTTAAATAGAATCCTCAAAAATAATATAAAGTTATTGAATAAAATTTGTGAAATACTATGATTTAAATTTAAGTATCAAATTTAATACAATATTTAGAAAGTATAAAATTTTAAGCATTGCGCCTTTTATTTAATAAGAGTGAGCGAGTCAAATACAGTTCTGGTCTTATAGTCATTTCGTTTTAAGTAAAACTGTCATTTCCTGGAATGATTGAGAAAATTCTACATTAAATTTTGCATCACTTTTTTCTAGGAGTTTCCTTGGAGTAGCAAAGTAATAGCTAAGCAAAGTAAAAACCAGTGATTTTCGGTGAAAAGGCATATAAAGCAAATTAATTTAGTTCAACAGTAATATAAAGAAAATTTGGGAAAATAATTAAAAGGTAAGTTTAAATATTCATTAGTTTTAAAATAAATAACACAATTTTAGGCGGTTTTAGTTTTACATTTTAAGTAAAAAGTATAACCTTAAAAATTATGGGAGACATGTTCTTTTTATATTAAGCGAATATTTTAGCATTAGAAATACTGAAATTTCTCCACGTAATATTTGATGCAGAAATGTTACCAATGAAAAAATTTAAGAAAAATAAATTAAATACCTTTGTGTTTAAATGCCGAAAACGTGAAAACACGTGTTGAGTTTATAACGATTTAAAGGAGTACTTATCTAATTACATATGTATGTAGATATAAATATTTGTATATACATGTGTGTTATGTATATAATAATAGCATATAATTTATATTCGAAATATTGCATGTACGTATGTAAGTACGTACATACATATGTTCTTTCTTACGTGTAATATATTCGTTATAAGAATCTTCAATCGATGCGAACGAAAAACAAATTGTACATTATAATTTCTTTGTCCTTTCAATATTGATTTTTTATTAGTGTTACTTATCTCCCTTATATTTTAACCTGACAGTCCTTTTTCTTTGTAGTTATGAGTGCGATTGCCAGAAGTTTGTTACTAGGACAATGTGTACCTTGTATAAAGAAAAATGCATCAAAAATCCGCATAAGAAAAATGGATTTTGATAAAAATTTAAATATGTATTTTCATAAGGATGAGTTTATATTTGCTCATGATCCGGAAAAGAAATGTAAATCTGGTGACATCGTATTAGTTAAAGAGCTACCAGAACGTCTAACACGTTTAATAACTCATTCGATACAAGAAATTATTTATCCTTTGGGTGATATCACTGATCCTATCACGGGTAAAAAAGTAGTTGTAGGAAAATATCGGGATGAAATTGAACATACCAATAAGTTATATGGAAAATCAGATAAAAGTTTTTCATATGAAAAAGCTCCACCGCGTGGTCGTTTAGAGGGTACTAGAGATTTCACGCATGGTGAAACTTATATTAAATATCATGAAGATGGAAAAGATCAACCTTTCGCTGTATAAAATAAACTAAATTTAGTATAGATACAAATACATGTAGAATTATGGAAATTTAATAAATATTTAGTTACAATATAAATGTTCCCCATTTCTTTGTTTGAATTTTAGATGGTCTATAATAAAGAAAATAAAATTTCATTAAGCAATTTAATTATTAAATTTGTACATATAATTAAAATTAATTAGGTTTGGTACCATTTCCTAATATAATTTTCAATATAAATATGTAGGTCCCTTCTAATAAATTGAAGTTTGTCCTTGCACTCGGTTAATTTTCAAATAGTTTTACAAAATATGAAAAAAACAATTATGTATGTTCCATAGTTTCTAATTAAGTTGCTTTTTAGGATATTTTCGGAAAATGGAATCAATGACTAGATATGTATCACCTATAAATCCTGCTGTATTTCCTCACCTTGCAACAGTTCTTCTTGCTATTGGAACATTTTTTACGGCTTGGTTTTTCGTTTATGAAGTTTCACGTCCAAAAAATACTAAAGACACCATATTTAAGGAGCTCTCTATAAGTTTATTCGCATCAATTTTCTTAGGTTTTGGTGTGCTATTTTTAGTTTTGTCAGTTGGAATATATGTTTAAATTTTAAACATTATTTTGAAAATACATACACACAATTTTTTTAGACAGTAAAACTATAAAAAAAAAATGTTCATTCCTAAAATTAAATTTTGTAAGGTATTTTATATTTCACCTTCAAATATATGAAAAAACTGAGTGCAATTTTAGTTAAGAGTATTTTTTTTCCATTAGATAGGTATATTTTTGATATTGAGGGTTTATGTACCTATAATAATAGAAATAATATATTTAACATTTTGACATATTCAAAAACTTTCAAGGTAAATGTAAGAACTTGTCCATATCTTCTTTAATTTCAAATTTTTCTAATAAATCATTCTTAATAATTATAACGTTTTGGAATTGATGCAGTTTCTATCTACATATTTCAAACTGTTAACTTCTACCGAAGAACTTTTAGCTTTCTTAGTTTCCAAAAGAAAAAAATTTAATTCTAATTTTTGTCCTCTTGTCTTGTTATACTACTAATTTTAGAAGAAAATTTTCTATGCATTTCTGTGTTGATTCAAATATGTATACTGTGGCTTTCATTATTAGAATTTTAAATTCCGGGATTTGTTTTTATCAGAAAATTAGAAATTTTTAGAATTATGTCCTATAATTTCAAGTGACACTTAAATTTACACAAGATAATATGGGTGAATATTATAAGTCCTATACATATTTGCAAAAATATTATTGATATATTCGATTAATTCTAATTGATATTTTCTCTAAATATTAAGCAGCTTTGGTCTTTAATTTACAACCTTCTTTAAAATTATGAAAAAAAAAACGCATTCACTTGATTTTAATCGAAGAACAACGTTAGTATTATTTAATGTTAAAAGTAACCATTATTTTTTCAAAAAAATTTTTCGAAATAATCTCATAATCAATCTTTTATATTTTAATCAAATGAATAAAAATTGCAAATGAATTGTAAATAATTTTATATGTTAATTCTATTCTCGGACAATTTAATAATTGAAATACCTATGTACTTAGGTGTGAAATAGATATGGCGAAATATAAAGCTAATTCCAATTTAAATGATTAAATTATAACCTATGCGAATAAATATATATACTTATTCACTACTTACCTAAGAACCTATACTTATTCACTACTTACGAATTTTTTTCCATATAATTTTTAAAATCTTTCACTATAAGAAAAAATACGAAAATGAAGATAAAAACTATATACTGGTAACATTTCTACACCGTATATTGATTGCGTAACATAAAAAATTCATATTATACTTAAAATATAAGTGAGTTTGTGTAGTAGTTATGCTAGACATCAACTTTAGATAGAAGGGCTGAAATTGTCAGACGTTTTATTTCCATTTTTTTTTCCAGTTTTTCAGTAAGTTATTAGCTTTTATATCGTATGCTTGTTTATCATCAGATTCGGTTAAAAATCAATTTTTTTTTTCTTTTTGATATTTGAAACACGTCTTTCTCCTGTGCAATTTAGTGTAGTTTATAAAATATTTTTTAAAAATTAAAATTGATTTTTTTTTTATAAAAAAAAAAAGAAAACTAAAAACAAAAATTAATATCGCTTTTTTTGCAAAGTGATGTAAAAAAAATTGTCAAATATTTAATCTACGGAACTTTTTTTAGTGGATATTCTGCCAGACAAGAAACAAAACATCTTCGTCAACACTTCACATATATGTATATATAAAAACTCCTCTTACCATACCTATATTAAGAAAAAACAAAAAAAAAAAAAAAAGAAAAACAAAAAAAAAGAAAAATTGAAATAAAGTCATTTTTACCTTCAAGAAGTGTAAATGAAGCAACACAATTTATTAAAAAAAAAACTTCACTTAATGTAGAAAAGAAAAAAAAAATTGGATTATTGATTGATATGCAAGTGTACATGTAATTAACGTTATTAAAATTATTAAAAAATTATATATATATATTTGTATACATATGTACAAAATGGACTTTGAAACTAAAGTAACAGATTATGAAATTTATGAATATGAAAAAGGTGGTAAAGATGACGCAAAAGAAAAAGTGTATCTTATAGAAACATTTTATATTACTTCCAAAAAAAATAATGTGTTCCAAGTCAAATTAACTTCAAGTGGGTTGTGTTTACATAAAGAAACTAGTAGTACTGGTAATACAAAAGAGCAATTAATATTATTAAAAGATATTATTGGATGCCGTTGTTTAAGAGCTACCAGACGTAAAATTCATGGTTCATGTACATGTTCATCTGCATTACAAAGTCCTACACATAATGCAAAAATTATTGAAGAAAATCCAGCTATATTAGCATCAAGTGATATTAATGAAGCAGATGTTAGTGCATATTTATATATATATGCATATATTATTAAAAAAAATAAAAGAAATCGTACAACATTAACATTACGATTTAGATCATTTGATACATACGAAGATAATAATAGGGAAGCACAAAAATGGAGAACAGCAATTAAACAATTAATTAAAGGTGAATTACCACCATTTAATATTACAAAAATTAATGATAATAGAAAAATATTGATATTACTTAATCCAAAATCTGGACCAGGTAAAGCAAGAGAAACATTTCAAAAAAAAATTATACCATTATTTATTGAAGCAGAAATTGGTTATGATTTACATGTGACAAAGAGAAGAAATTTTGCAAAAGAATTTGTACGATTAAAGAATATATTTAATTGGAGAGCGATTGTTTGTGTAGGTGGTGATGGTATTTATTGGGAAGTAATTAATGGTATTATGGAAAGAGAAGATTGGCAACAAGTATTTGATTCAGTACCAATTGGTATAATACCATGTGGTTCTGGAAATGGTTTAGCAAAATCAATTGCTCATAAATATAATGAACCATATGATTCAAAAACAGCAATTATTGGTTCTGCAATTAGTGCACTTAAAGGTAAAACTGAAAAAATGGATTTAGTTCGAATTGAAACAAAATCACAAATAATGTTTTCATTTTTATCGTGTGGTTGGGGCTTAATCTCAGATGTTGATATTGAAAGTGAACGTTTACGTTCTATTGGTTATCAAAGATTTGCCCTTTGGTCAGTTCATAGATTAATAAATTTAAGAACTTATCGTGGAAAAATATCATATATACCAATTACAACTGATACATCTGTACAGATTAGTAATGATAACGAAAAAGAAGAAAAAAATGAAAATTTAGTTGAAAATGCTTCCAAACCAAGCCTAAAGCATAGCTTTAGCTGTAATGATTCAATATTAAGTTTTTCGGATTGCCAAACTGATGGTGATGGTGAAGACACAACTGATATGTTATACTTAGAAACATCAAATAATAAAACAAATTCACAGAGAAGGCCACGTTTAGATAGTTGGTATTCAGTTGCTTCCAAAAAAAGTGCCTATTTTTCAACATCGGAAAGTGTTTATCAAAGTGTACACGATTTAAAATCAAATAATGATGAATCAATTGGTAGTGAAATAGGTGCACAAGTTAGAATGTTTGGTCCAGCATCTAATATACCAGGTTTAGCTGGTCCAATATTACAATCAAATAATGAATGGGTACATGAAGAAGGTCAATATATAATGGTTCATGCTGCTTATCAAACACATTTAGGTTCAGATTGTTATTTTGTTCCGTCCGCAACAATAAATGATGGTATTATATGGTTATTAGTAATACGAGCTGGTGTATCAAGATCCCAATTATTATCATTCATGTTAGGTTTAAGTTCTGGTACGCATTTATCTGTTTCTAAAAATGATGATCATTTTCAAATGATACCTGTTAAAGCATTTAGAATAGAACCGATTGAAGGTTCACAACATGGCAATATAACAGTTGATGGTGAAAGTGTTGAATATGGACCTATACAAGGTGAAATATTTCCAAAAATGGTTAATTTATTAGTTCCAGACACTGACTGCTAAAATTTAATTATAATGTAGAGAAAAATAAAAAAATAACGTAGAGTATAATTTATTATTGTTATAATATTAGGTACTTAAAATATAGGGTGTATGGATATAAAAAAAAATTTTTTTTATTTTTTTTTTTTCTTTGTCTATATGTGATTTTTTGGTATAAAAATTGTTAAAAATTACAAAAAAAAACGAAAAACAAATTTTAAAGTAATTTTTTTTTTTCAGTAGAATAACAAAGAACAAATATACTAAAATTGTTAAATAATTTAAGAAATTTAATTGTTAATTTTTCAATTAATTATAGAAAATAATCAAAAAGTAAAGAAAATTTGTTTAAATAATAAAACATAAAAAAAGAAAAAGTTTGAAAAATAACAAGAAATAATGGTTAAATCAGTTGTTTTCATTAAATTTAGTTTAATTTAAAAATTGTTTTAATGCATAACTACTGCACAAAATTTTAGAAAGGTAAAAAATTAAAGTTAAGAAAAACAAAATAATTCGAAAACATTTTCAGTAAGACAATGATAGAGTTTTTGAAGTAACATCAATTCCATTAACAATTATTGAATTATTTTGTTAAAATGTGAATGAAATTTAGAATAGTGCCTAACTCAGTTCATTGTTTACTGAATTGAGTTTTGGGTAGGCGCGTAGTGAAGTAGTCAGAAAATATGTTTGCTAAATAAATTTTTCTTCATAGAAATTTTCTACTGTAGAAAGGATCTTTTTCATACAATAACTTTAATCTTATATAAAATAAAAAAAATTTTCGTTTAATTTCATTTGGTAAGACAAATATGAAATTATTAATAAATAGGTTTATAAATACTTTGAAATATTAAGCATATAGGTACCTATGTTTTAATTGAAATTAATGTTTACAATATGATTACCTATATAACTCTACTATAATTTGTAATAAAAAATGAAACTGTGGAAATTTTTAATTTTAATTTAATTTCAAAATATTTTCTTTTTTTCCATGTGTTTAATTTCAAATATTTAAATACAAAGTTTCCTATTTATTGTCATTTATTTCGAAGTTCAATACCACATTTTCTAATCTTAAAATTTTTGTTTGTTCTACACTGTTTCATTTTTTTTATTTTGAATTACAATTTTTTTTTTCATTTTTGATAATGTCAGGCGGTAGTGATAACTTTTTTTTTTCTTTACATAATTTACGTATGTATTTTTTTTTTTAGTTTACGTGTATATTTTTTTTTTTGTTTAGATTATGGTATTGAAATTTAATCAATAATCGTAAATAATTAAAAATAAATCAATATAAATTTGTGATTGTTTATCTTTGACGACAAAATGTTATAGGTACCTATGTAAATACATTTGTTTTAATTTTATTAGTACAAATGCAATAATGGATTAATATAAATTATAGCCAATATAAAGTGAACACATGTTCATTTTTTAAATAAAACGGTGTAGATTTTTTTCTTATTTAATTTTTATCAAAATCCATCAATAACAATTCGATGATAAGATTTTTATTTTTATTTTAAAAGTCCAATGCCTTTTGATTTTGTTGATTAAATTTTTCTTCAATTTTTTTGTTTTTTTCATTTTATTTTATTCTTATTGTAATCAATAATAATTTAATTGATCTCAGGGACTAAGCATATGCCTACAGAGTAAGAAACAGTAAGAAGTTAAAATGGAAAATATAAAATTGAATAAGATTTTATATAGCATTTATTTATTTATTTTTTTTTTTTTTAGTTTGCACATGACACGAATATTGTGCGGATTACCTATACATTTATAAAAGTATTTATTGGAAAGACAAAATGTACCTACTTATTATCTTGTTTATTTTGTTCTAAATTAAATTTATGATATAAAGTGAAACCAGTTTTAAAAGAACTTTTAATTAAGGCTAATAATTTAATTAGTTAACATTTGATCCTATAAGTGAGATTTATTTATAAGTAGAAATTTGACTGAATTTAATTATTAATTAAATAGAATCAAGTATAAACAGAAAATATATTTTTTTAAATTATGATTTATTTTTTAAAAGAAATGTATTTGAATTTCTTCGATTGTTCGAATTTCGAGTACTTTAATTGAATTTTATAGTTATATTTTTATATATGTGAATTTTTTTTATGATCGAAACCAATATACATACATTAAAACAAAATGCAACATTCGATCGCAACTTGCATGCATTCGATCGCAAATTTTCTTATGTAAATCAGAATTTCTAAATTCTAAAATAGGAAGATGATTGATTTATTAATAAGATAAAATTTCAAATTCCTGTAATACGATTTTCGAAATCTAATACTTTTGAATAATCGAAACTAAAAAATTTTTAACTTTTTTAATTCAGAAAAAATTTACTTTAACTGGAGTCGAATTTAATTTAATTAAATTATTTATTAATTTAAAATTAAAGATTTTAAGGTTTTACTGTACGCATTTTATTATTTTTTTTTTCTTTTTTGTTAATTATATTTTGTATTTCAGTAATTAACACAAATTGTTTTAAAACTGCAACGATGACAAAAAAAAAAAAACATTTTTTTTTGTTTTTGTCTTTATACAATTTAGAATTGCAAAAATGAAATAAATTCAAAACATGTTCCATAAGTGTAGATTCAATTGTATTTCGCGTGGATAATTTACGTGGTTTTCTATACAATAGTACCTATATGCAAAAGCTATTTCAACTTTTTCTCTTTTTAACAACCTATTCTATTCTATAATTTTATTATTATTGTTAATTTAACATCAAAAATTATTGTAGGTATTGTATGTGAGATAATGCAATTAAATTTTATGAAATAATATTAATAAAGGTCGAATAGATATAAAATTTAAATTAAAATTTAAAAAATTCTAAATATTTAATTAAAATATATTTTTACAATTTACATATTTATACATAATATGCGAGAGAATTTTTATAATTTAATTAAGTTATTTGTAAAATATGATAAAATCTAGAATGAATGAGTAGATTATATAAATTTAAGTTTTCATATTTATGAAATATTGTAAAAATTTAAAAAAAATGCAGTTCTAAATTATTTAGGGGTATGATAGTGATATATTTATACAATTCATTTGCTAATCGAGAATCGAAAATCTGTTCTGTTCAAATAACGTCAGCATAGTTTAACTATATTTCAACTTCAACGGTTGGGTTAGCTATATTTCAATTATATACGAGTAATAAGTATATTTATATATATGGTTTTATTTCATTCTTATTTGCTTATTTTCGTAGCTTAAAATCACGACTCTTAATTGTTATTAATTATGTATTTCGAACAAAAATTAAACGGTAGTTTTGAGTACTTACTTTATGGTCTAAGAATATGTGGTTGTCTCCTTATTGAATGTGGTTTAATTAATGTGATATTACTTAAACTATGATTTTATTGTTGAAATAAAAGAGTTCTAACTAAGAATTTTAGCAGAAACTTCATTAAATACAAACAAGGAGAGCATTTGTATTTTGTATGCTTCATCTAAAAGAATAAAATTTATCATATTCGTATAGCTAATTCTGATAAAATTTTAATATATAAGAACATATTCACTTTATTTCTATATGAAATTGACTCCCATCGCCATCAAACAAATTCATCATCAATTTAACACTATAACTTTTCCCAATACAATTTAGATTATTAAATTTCATATAAAACAAAATTATCTATTTATAAAAGAGGAATTCCAATTTGGTACTCTTAAAAATATTACGTGATAGAAATTATAAATTATTTCTTGAATTTTTTTTTTGACCTACCTTTTTCTGTTTTTAAATTCTACTAACGTTTCATAAATTAAGTTTAAGCTTAAATTCAAATAATATAGTTAATAAAAAATTATTTTATGTGTTCTGTTTAAAATAACAAATTTAATAGTTGCTACTTTTCTAAAAATCTCTTAAAGCTTTCTGTGTGAACAATAAGTGTTAACAGACACAAAACCGCACATTTGAATTCATTAATAAAATTGTTCTTTTGTTAATAAATTTTGTTTTCCTTCCATTTTATTGCAAAATAAAAATATATTTTGTTTTCACATATTTTAAGTATGATTTGAATTAAATATAATGTGTAAATTTTGGGAGACAGTTAAGTAGGTACATATTAAGTGTTGAGGAGGAAATGAATCATCACTTAAAAGCCCACCCACATCAAATTTTTAATTAATTGTCATTGTGAGAAAAAATATTATTGTACGTACATAAATATTACTGTACATGGACGATTTTTGCACCAAAACAAAAATTGAATTGACAAAATTTCGAAGCCCACATACAATAATAAAAAAAAACAGTCAGTCTACAGACCTTGTTGTATATGATGCGCTAATATCTTTTTATTATCAGTTTAAATATTCGCCAAAAAGAAAAATTGAATTCATCACACCTAGCCTAATTGATTAATTATACATACTAGCTTTTCAAAAGTGTAATGTAATTTGAAGCGTTATACTATATAGTAACTAGTCTAAACAAAAAATTGTTATACACAATTTTTTTTTCAAGTTCAAGATTTTTTTTAAAAGCTTTTAATAGAAATTTTAAAAATTTCAATATCACAAAATATTAAAAAATAAATAAAAATAAAACATGTACATAACTACTAATATTTAATTTCTATGTAAAAAAAAATATCTTCATTCACTCGTACACGCTCGTTAGATTAGAACGCTAATAAATCTAAGTCACAATTTAAAGATTTTTCAGGAGAGCGTTTTAAAGTTTTTTTCTTTTTCAAATTTATCTTTTCTTGTTGGGATTAGTCAAAGTCTAGTTAGGGTAAAAACTTCATTAATTTGTCAATTATATTGGTTATGCTTATAGAAACCGCGAATGCGGAAAAGAAGTTCCTTTACATGAAAATTACGACTAAGAATAATTTAGTATTAAAGAAGCAATGTGCTTTTACAAAACAAGCCTACGTTTTCACTTCAGTAGGACGAAGCCTATTTTTTCACTTCAGTAGGATGAAGCTTATGTTTTCACTTAGGAAAATAACAATTATAATGTGATCGTAAATTATCTTTAATTCACATTTTTGCTGAAAAGTGGATTTACAATAGTTATGATCTAAGACAGTGATATACAAGTACGTATACCTATGTTGATTTTAATGGTTAATTAAAGTGTTAATGAATTGAACAATCTTCACTTCTATTGTCAAAAATCTATTTAGATAAACACATGAACTCATCATATGAAAATAATCTCTATATAAGAATAACGATAAATATAAGAAATCAACATCACTTCATCAATAACAAATTTTCGTGCAGAATTACAAAAAATTTTTTAGAATTAAAAAAATAAATATTTTTTTTAACAATTTTTTTTTTGTATATATACGTACACAATGTGTACATATGTACAT